CTGCCCTTTCAATCATATCCTTACATACATTTAGGAAGATTTGTTCCGGCAGTGGAACTCAGGCTAAATTAAGGCCTTCAGACATTGTGTTAACAGACTTTCAAAATTCGAGAGTGTGTGTTAAGGGGGAGGCCACCCTTAACGTACAGTATAAGAATTTTGAAGGTCCACTAGACATATTAGTAGTAGGGGGTGAACGAACGAGTCTCATAGGACTCGATTGGTTTGAAGCCTTGGGGATACACGTCACGGGGCTCAACAGCTTACAAACACTCGACCTACAGGAAGTCTGCAAAGAATTTGCAGATGTCTTCAGCCCCCAGCTGGGCACATTCAAGGGACCTCCTGTGTCCTTAAAACTAGACCCCACTGTCACACCCATTAGAATTAAAGCAAGAAGGGTCCCTTTTGCTTTAAAGAGTAAAATTGACACTGAGTTAGACAAGCTGATCCAACAGGGAATCCTAGAACCTGTTGATTCCAGCCCTTGGGAGACCCCCATTGTCACGCCTCTAAAGGCAAATGGGGACATTCGCATTTGTGCTGACTACAAATGCACTCTTAATAAGGCATTGCAGCAACATGCCTATCCTGTTCCTGTGGTCAGTCATATTCTGGCCTCCCTCAAGGGGGGGTGCGTTTTTGCAAAGCTTGACCTAGCTCAAGCGTATCAACAGCTGCCTGTTGATGATGATGCTGCTATAGCTCAGACTATTGTGACCCACAGGGGAGCCTTTAAGGTAAAAAGGCTACAGTTTGGAGTGAATGTCGCTCCTGGGATTTTCCAAAGCGTAATGGAAAACACACTACGGGGCATACCGGGGGTTTGCCCCTACTTTGATGATGTCTTAATTGCAGGAGACTCCACACACATTCTAGCTGAAAGGCTAAGGGCTGTTCTGTTAAGATTCAGGAAAACAGGCCTCAAGCTCAAAAGAGACAAATGCAAAATTGGGGTGCCTTCTACTGAATTTCTGGGATTCAAAATTGATGCTGCTGGGATTCACCCTGCTGAATCCAAACTAACTGCCATTTTAGAAGCACCTAGGCCAAAGTCTAAGGCTGAACTTCAGGCCTTTCTGGGCCTCCTGAATTTCTACAATTCCTTTCTTCCACATAAAGCTAGTGTAGCTGAGCCTCTTCACAGGCTATTAGACAAACAAGCAGTGTGGCAATGGTCACAAACACATGAGGCTAGTTTCAATGAGGTCAAGGCCTTACTCACTTCTAACAGTGTACTTGCACACTTCAATGAGTCCCTTCCTGTGTGCATCGCTTGTGATGCTTCCCCTTACGGGGTAGGAGCTGTCCTGAGCCACCTCAGGTCTGATGGAACTCAGGTTCCTGTTGCATATTACTCCAGAACACTGTCTTCTGCTGAGCGCAACTACGCTCAGATAGACAGGGAGGCTCTGGCTGTTGTTGCTGGAATTAAAAAATTCCATGATTTCTTGTATGGCAGGCATTTCACGGTCTTCACTGACCATAAGCCTCTGCTGGGACTGTTTACCACACGTAAACAAACTCCCCAAATCATTTCCCCTAGAATGCTTAGGTGGTCTATTTTTCTGTCTGCATATGATTTTTCCTTACTCCACAAGCCTGGGAAAGAAATGGGCCATGCTGATGGCCTCAGTAGATTGCCCCTGCCAGTAGTAGAAGCTGACCCTGCGCCAGCTGTCAACATTCTATCCATCCAAGCCTTGCCCGAGTCCCCTCTGAATGCCAGGGATGTCGCTGCTGAAACAGGCACAGATCACACACTTTCACGTGTCCTCTCTTGGGTTTTGTCTAGATGGCCTGAGCACTGCCCTAGTCCTGAGTTTCAGAGTTTCTGGTCCAAAAGGAACGAGTTGTCCACTTCTCAGGGTTGTCTGCTTTGGGGAAACAGAGTTGTCATTCCCACCTCAATGAGGACTAGGATCTTAGAGTCCCTCCACGAGGGTCATCCTGGCATTGTTCGCATGAAGGCCCTTGCGCGCAGCCACTTGTGGTGGCCTGGTTTAGATAAGGACATTGAGGCTAAGGTGCATGCATGCCACCTGTGCCAGCGCTCTCGCCCAGAGATGCCCCAAGCTCCTGTGCATAGATGGGAGGATACACAGTCCCCATGGTCTAGGGTGCACATTGACTACGCTGGGCCCTTTCAGGGCCAGTTCTTCTTGGTCCTCATTGACAGTCATTCAAAATGGCTTGAGGTTGTACCTGTCTCATCCACCACCACTGCAAAGACTATTCAGGTACTGAGGGGGATTTTTGCTGCACACGGGCTCCCAGATGTCATCGTCTCTGACAACGGCCCTCAATTTACTTCCTCCGAATTCCAAGCTTTCTTACAGGCTAACATGATTCGTCATGCCACGTCTGCACCCTTCCACCTGTCCACCAACGGTATGGCTGAACGCATGGTCCGCATCACAAAGGACGCCTTGAAAAGACTCACCTATGGGGACTGGCATCACAGGTTGGCTGACTTTCTCCTTTCTTACCGCACCACACCGTCCACTTCTACAGGGAGAAGCCCAGCTGAACTTCGCTGGGGGCGCAAACTTACTACGAAGCTTGACCGGTTGCATCCGGTTGCATGCCTTCATCTACCTCACATCCTAGGGCACCTAGACAACTACTTGTGGGTGCCCCGGTTTGGACTCGCAATTACGGGCCTGGTCATACATGGGTCCCCGCTTCTATTTCCAGGGTCACAGTTCCTCTCTCCTATGAGGTAGCCCTGGACAACGGTCGTGTCCTGCGTCAGCACATCGACCAACTCCGCCCTAGGCGGGACCTTTCAGATGAGACTCCTGGGTCTTTTCCAGGGGGGGAGGGGGACCCTTTAGAGCAAAGGGAGGGGCACGAGCTGCTGCCCACCTCCAATCATGGAGCCACAAACGGCCCATTCCAAGATTCCGCGAGTGCCCCAAACAGGAAATCTAAGAGCCTATCCAACTACCAGGCATTCATGCCTACTCCAGCCAGGGAGTCACCCCGGGGTACAATCACTATTCACCTGCACAGCACAGTACTCCAGTCAGGGAGGATACCCGGGAGCATCCCAATAAATCATACCCCGCAAGAGAGCTGGCACATAATCCCCAGAGTTGGCCTGACCTTACCCCAAGTCCTACAGGGGGTCAAACTTACAGGGAGGTGGTCGAGGAACCAAGGCCCGACCGCAACACCTCTAGCCCACATCAGGGAGTAACTGAGTTTTGGGAAGGTACAGAGACCCACACGAGCCCGGACACAGAACGGGGCTTAGGGATTGGACAGCCTCCTGACAGGTCTTGGACGGACCTAGGAGGTTCTATAGAGACGCCCAGCAGTGGCTATCACTTCAAGGGGCCCGAGGGCCTACAGCTAGGCAGGTCAACCAGGTCACAAAGTGACAGAAGCCCTGGCCTGATGAGCCCGGTGGGCGAGCAAGCAGGCCAGGCATCGGGGCACAGTCCTCGGAAGGCACCAAGGCATGATAAGGAGAACAGGCTCACGTCTCCCCTCAGTCAGGGAACACCTGTCAGAAACCCAGAGCTGAGAAGGTCACAGAGAGCAAGGAAATCTCCTAAATACTTAGAGGATTACATAACATTGCTGGCCAAACAAAAGCCAGTAAACAGTAGGAGCACTGGGGAGTAGAACACTGCATCAAGAAATAATTGTATGTTGGTAGTAGTCTTAGCCCGGGGGAAAGGGGTGTTATGTCCCGAGCCTTGCAAACGGGCTCGGGGCGTTTGCAGGCAGTCCCGGGCAGGTGCAAGCTGCCCGGGACCAGACAGGCTGTCGCCAGCGCCTGTGCGCATGTGCGGGTGCTGGCACGGGAAAAGTAACACATTGACCCGGGAACTGCCTATATAAGAGGCTAGGAGCTTTTGGGTTGCTGAAGCCTTCACTTGTAAGCTGAACACAGAATAAAAGGAAACCTGAGAACTACAACTGCTTCTCGCGTCTGCTTTTCGCCAAGGACTCAACAAAAATTGTCAGACTTAGGGGAATCAAATCCAGGCATAACAGAAAAGTTTATCAAAGAAGTGCAGAATTTTTACCAAACATGTTTTCAATATATCGAAGAATGGACTGAAACAAACATCACAGGAAATAACAGTTTCAATGGTGTTTTTTTACTTCATCGCAAGTATATTGAATCTTGTGTTGAGTTTTTATCTAAAGAAATGCCAGACATTAAAATAGACAATTGTCTCTTCGAAGAAATTAGAAGACTGAATATATTTTTAAATTCTGAAAAATTAATACAATGGGAAAATAAACATGTTGAAATTGATAAAAGATGGGTGGAAATATTCAGCCATTTCAAAAATGAACATATTCCATGTGAAACCCTAGGCATGCATTTCTTCCTCTTTAAGATCCTTTGAGGAAATATATTTTTCTGCTCTTTTAATATTTCCTTCTCTGGGATCTGACTTCCCACACTTCCCAAGTCCTTCAGAAAACTGATTTTGTCTCAGAAAGCTAGGATTGCCTTACCGATAACCTCTTCATTCAGACCTACATCATAAATCTCAAAAAGCCTTGGCTTGTCTAATTGTCTATGATCAAATAAATTGCAATTATTTGCATTTGCATCTATTGTTAGCCTATATGTAGCAACAGATAAAGCAGCCAAGATGTGAAGTTTTCAGAGGAAAAACAACTAAACCTAAAGCTAGCAAAGGATCTCGGAGAAACAGGCCCCTCGCCAAACTGTCAGTCAGTCCAACCAATCACCAATAGGACTGAGTTCCGTAGAACTGCCAAAGTTATAGCGCATAGCGGCGCATTGGGCTCTTCTTATTTGCAATGTAAGCCGTTTCGAGTGCTTATTGGTGAAGGAATCGTAGTCAACAAAGTTGTCTCTCTATTTTTTGATAGTTCTATAGTCGTACCTTAGACCCGACCAATGACATTTTGAACCAAAAGGTAACGAAAAGAGGGCGAATATCTTTTATTCCTATTGCAGGACAGAAGCGTCTTTTCAGCTTTTGCGCCACCGCAACCCCGCCTCCGGCAGTGGCGTCATATGAAGTCTGGCTGCAAATCTCGTTATTGCTATGGCGGCAACTTCTGCTGCGCTCTCCCTGCGCGTGGTGGCCGAATGCGGGCAGACTAGGGCTCGTGCTTGTGAGTTGCGACTGCCTCATGGTCTCGTTGATTGCCCAGTCTTCATGCCCGTCGGCACGCAGGGAACCATGAAAGGGCTTACCGCCCTGCAGCTAGATGCGCTGGGATGCCGCCTGTGCTTAGGCAACACCTACCATCTGGGCATGCGACCTGTGAGTCTACCTTTCCGCATAGAGTTGTACCAGGAGTCTTAGGAAGAAAACTTAGAGTTTTAATGTAGTTGTCTTGGACAACATTACAGGAACCTAGTAAGAGAAAGTTTTAATATATGTACTCTATAACCTTTTAGCAGTATGATATGTGTCAGTGCCCAGGACATCTACAGTATTTGTTCTAGAGAAGACAACCCAAACCAGTCCTCAAATCAATTTTCTTTGATTTGGAAAATTAACGTTAGCTGTGGCTGGATTTTTCATAACATGCACCATCAAATCATACTGTACTTTGCTTATTTATGTGTTTTACATTTTATAAAAATCATTCAACTATATTTTATTAAAATCATGGTTATTCAAACCATGGCTTAATATATTCCTTGAATACATCATGTTTCTTTTGGTCTTAATCTGAGCTTCAATCTGAAATTAATGCTGAATTATATTTATAGGATTGTTACTGATCAAATATCCCCTGGTTTTGCAATACACTGAACCATAAATTAGCTTCAGTGGCTGTATTTACATAATAAAGTGGAACCACAAATTCTGGCTGTATTTGCGCTGTTTGTTGTATAAATTCATCTATTGCAGCAGGTTTATGGTTCATTAAAGAATCCACAGTATTTGATTACTTGTGTCAAAGTTAATCACGGGATAAGTATATTATATGAATAGAGAATCATTCTCATTTTCTCACTGTACTATGAAATTGATGAAATGCAGTGATAGTAGAACTATTTAATAAATTAAAACAAGATAGAAAAAGTCAATTCCTCTATTTGCTGTTTTTTTCACACTTGGATTTGGTTTATATGGTATTTATGCCTAAAAGATTGGGCAAAAACATCACTAGTTACTGAAATATCTAGTGCATACAGTTGTCATGTGCTAAAGACCAGGTCTGCATGTGAAGGTCCAATTAAATGTTGCCTCTAGACAAGATGGGCTGCATACAAATCTAATAAAAGGATTTATTTATTGCTAAACGACCTATGCATAGGACTTTTCTCAACTAACAGCACCTGCTTGGAGTTAGTTAAGGATCCATGGAATTCAGGGGAGGGGGGATTGGACTTAGTTTGCTTGTACATAGGGATTCCAAACTGATTCCTCTTTTAACTCCACTCCCAAGTTCTGCCTCTTTTCTTACAACAGCATACCAGCAAGATACCTGTCTCTTCATCAGATTTCTGTTCTTAAATGTTGTTTTGGATTTGATTAAGTTAATTTGCTTGTTTGTGCATCCCATCAGCATATGATTATGGCTTTTGTTTCCAATAACAGATACATGGATGGATTATAACTCAATTAAAGAAATAATTTGTATATTGTAGTTTCAAATACTTCATAAGTATCTTATGCTATATCGCTTCTCTAAAGTAAAATCACTGTATTGCAACTGATTGAGTATTTGAGAAATTACCTATTCAGGATTCGTAATAAGCATATAGCAAAGGTAACAAATAGAACCAGAAATTTCTTGGTTTCTAATTTAGTTTGATAACTACTGTATCATTTATCCCATGTAGCCTATCTGTGTTTGGCCTCTAATGCATACACAGTGATGTTATAGTGGCACAAATAACCAGAGATTTGTGTTTATTCCCTTATCCTTTTGGATTTGCATAAAATTACTTGAATACTTAATGCATCTATTTTGGAATTACTTTAGCGTGATTTTTGCCAAGATCGGCAAAATATAGCTCATAATTCACAGTGGGTTAATGCAACATGCTAAGGATTTTGGCATTAGTAATGTGATGGGCACTCATGATGATCTTTCATGCTGTTCCAGGGACTAGAGCTTATCAAAAAAGCCAATGGACTCCATAGCTTTATGAACTGGCCAAGAAACTTACTCACGGTAAGTATGAATGTGACTGAGGAGATTGTCTTACCTGGGAAATCAACCCTTTTGCTACAGTTGAGCTTTGTTATAGTTAAGAAAAATAGGAAACAGTGACCTATATCGCAGGTAAGGAAGTAAAAGCCGGGTGTGAGAGATGGTAAGCACATGGATGATCCACCTGCATGTGGGATTGTATTGTTCAACTATGGAAGTGCTTGATAAAACAGATAATTCCATTGTCTTTCCAAGTAGTGAGACAATTTTTAGTACACTCGGCATCCAATAAAAAAAAAGGAAAACAAGACTGGCAAAATTTTGTTCATCATCTACAATAATCACATGAAAAGCTTATGCATTCATTAAGTGCTTGACAAATAAATAAGTATTGTGTTTTATAAATGGAGGTCTTGGGCATACAACCTGATCCTTAAAAGCATTTTTCCTTAAAAACAAGTCTCATTGCTTTCAGTGGAATTTATTTATTTATTTGCATCCTGCCTTTATTATTTTTACAAACAACTCAAGGCAGTAAACATACACAATACACCTTCCTCCTACTTTTCCCACAACAATTCTGAGGTGGGTTGGACTGAGAAAGTGACTGGTCCAAGGTCACCCAGCTGGCTTTCATGGCTAAGGCAGAACTAGAACTGAGAGTCTTTGGCTTGCCTTAACCAATGTACATAGAATTTCAGCCTCAGCCAATCTGAGCAGAGAAATCAGAATCGTAGTAAGTAAATGTGAGAGGTGGGGATGGAGAGAGATTTACCATACTCAGTAAAATGAACGGTTACATCATGTTCAGCAGAGAAAATAGGCAAAATGCAATGCTTGAAGAAAATCAACGAATGCCACAATATTTATTATTGTGATCCATTTCCAAACCCTGTTGGTACAACTAGCAATAATCCTTGCCATTGCTTTTCTTCCAGTAGTTCGGCAGCTGTTGACTCTGATTACTCAGCCAAGAGTCCTGAATCCTGTAGCCAATTTTAACTAGATGTCCAGGAATTCCAACATCTAGCACGGTCCTTGTTAATCTGGGCAATAATCGAGCCAGTATGGATTTCTGTAATTTATGTCTTACCATATTTTTTTATGGGAGAGACACTCATTATCTGACTCTTCTTATGAGACTTGTCCAGTATGGTTTAACTTCTGGCATATCTTTCATCTTCCTCAGAGCTCACAAGCCCCACAACCACATCAAGGTAGTGCTCGCTGAGGATTTATTATTGTTGTTGTTTGTCGCACAGTCAGCCAGATGTTCAGGTTGGATTCAGCATTTTTATCTACCTATTGAATCCTTTCCAATAGGCAGATGTGGATGTTTGATGGTGTTACAGATATAATCATAGGATGTAAGCTGTTCTGAGTAAAGCTGCCATTTACAATTGACTGATGGTGAATTTGCCAAGTGGTGCTCAGCTGTTTTCGAATTGCACCCGAGGTGTCTATTACTGTTGGAACTACCTTTGCTTGCTTTTGCCACAGTCGTTCTATTTCTCTTTGCAGGTCTTTGTATTTTGTTGTCTTCTCCAGTTATAAAGTCCCCAGCAATTTAGCTTCTTCATTTTCTATGGTTTTCTCTTTTTTATGATCCCACTAGTTCTTGCCTGCAGGCAAATGGTATTTCTTGCAGATCTTCCAATGCACTATTGTTGCTACTTTGTCATGGCATGGCTTGTAGTCTGGGCAGTTTTCTTGCAGCAATTAACCAGTCTACTGTTTCTTCATCTTCTTTGCAAAGACAGTATTTGCTATCTGTTGCTGTTTTCTCAATTCTGGTTTTGTGTGCATTTGTCCTTAAGGCTTGGTCTTTTGTAGCCATAATTAACCCCTTAATCTCTGTCTTCAACTTTCCTGCTCTTAGCTATTGCTAGGTCTTGTTGTTATCTGCTTTCCCTGCTATTTTCTTTTTTTTTTATTGAAAAGTTTTATAAAAATTACAGTATACACCCCAAAAACCCCGCACCCTAAACCCCCCCTCTCCCTCCCCCACTTCCCAGAGCTGAGTACAGGATTACAAATATAATAATCAAACTCTGACTAACATTAACCAACTGTATAAATAACCAAGTCCATAATGCGCTTTAACTCCCCTTTAAATAGTTATAAACAAATTGAAAATAAACATAATAATATAAACAAGTCGATATTATTAAACAATACAATATCCAAATTGTTAAACAATGCTAATACTAAAAATAATAATAAAACTAATAAAAATTCAAATATAATAAACTATTAATAATAATACTCTAAAATTTACTCATAAACTAAATGGAACTTTTTAGTCCCATATTTATTCTGAATATAATCTATCCATCTTCTCCAGACCGAAATGTATCTTTCTTGTGAATGATCCTTCAAGTAAGCAGAAATTTTCGCCATTTCTGCTAAATTTGACACTTTAAGCGTCCATTCTTCTATAGTAGGCAAACAATCCTTCTTCCAATATTGCCCTACCAAGCTGTTATTAAATTCAACATCAAATTAATTTCTTTAGCATCACAATCTACAATAACACCCAATAAAAATAATTGTGGAGTAAACTTTATCTTTCTCCTAAAAATCTTTTGAATGTTCCACCAAATCTTAATCCAAAAAGCTTTTATATTTCTACAAGTCCACCAGATATGAAAATAAGTAGCATCCAAGCTACCACATCTCCAACATTTGGGCTGTAAATTGGGATACATACAAGACAACTTTTTAGGATCCAGATGCCTTCTATAAAACATTTTATAAAAATTTTCTCTTAAATTTTGGGCCTGGGTAAATTTTACATTTCTAACCCAAATTACCTCCCATATATCCAATGGAATCAGTTCTTGAATATTTTGGGCCCATTTTACCATACAATCTTTAACTAAATCCATTTCCCAATCCAATTCTATTAAAGCATTATAAATTCTCTTTATATGCGCTTGATTTTGATCTTTAATCTGTTTTACCAAATTCTCATCCATTAGGTAATACCAACCTTTTGATCTAACTTCTACCTAACCAACAATTGATTATACTGAAACCAAGACTGTACAATATTTTCTTGCTTTAACTCAACTAACGGTTTTAATTGCCAATCATTCCCTACCAATCTAAGTAATTCCTTATAAGAAATCCTATCCAAATTCACACCCATAGATACCTCCTCTGTGACGTGTTCAGGAATCCCCCAGATTGGTATTTTATAATTTAACCTATAATAATACTTCTTCCAGACACGCAATAAAGCACTTCTTAAAATATGAGATTTAAAAGCCTGGTCAACTTTTTTGTTATAAATTAAGTATGCATGCCACCCATATAATAAATCCCATCCCTCAAGGTGAAATATACTTTTATTTGTTAAATTAAGCCAATCACTAACCAGTGTTAAAACCACCGCATCATAGTATAATTTCAAATTAGGCGTCTTAAGTCCTTCTCTTTCCCGTGCGTCTTGTAAGATTTTAAATTTAATTCTTATTTTTTTCCCCGCCCAAATAAATTTATTAATACCCTTCTGCCATTCATCCAAATTGGCATCTTTTTTCAAAATAGGTATCATTTGAAACAAAAAAAGAAACTTTGGTAGAACATTCATTTTAACAGCTGAAATTTTCCCCAACGAGGATAATTGTAATTTTTTCCAATTGTTTAAGTCCTTTTGTACTTTTTTTTTTCAAAAAAAGTTTTTATTTTCCAATTATCAATTACATAAACAAAAAAGAAGAAATTTCACATTTAACAAGATAAAGTAAATATACCTAGATGTCGCCTCCTTTTGTACTTTTAACCATAATATCTCATAATTATTTTTATACAATTTTACATTAGAGGCTGTAATATATACTCCCAGATATTTAACCTTTTTCACTGTTTCAAAACCTGTCAATTTTACTAACATTTCCTTTTCCTTCATAATCATATTTTTAGATAATATTTTAGTCTTATTATTATTTACCTTAAAACCAGAAACTTTCCCATACTGAGTTATAATTTCCATCAAGTCTATAACCGATTGAATCGGTTGAGATAGTGTCACAACCAAGTCATCTGCAAAAGCTCTCAACCTATAATCATTCTTTTTTATTTTTATTCCCTTTATTATAATTGATTCACGAATTTTAATCATTAAAATCTCCATTGTTAAAACAAACAACAATGGCCATCCCTGTCTTGTACCCTTTTCAATTTTAAATGCCTCTGTTAATCCCCCATTAATTTTGATTTGTGCCGATTATTGTTGGTATATAGCCCTAAGAGAATATAAAAATTTATCCCCAAAATTCATTTTATCAACAACTTTCAATAAAAATTGCCAATTCAACTGATCAAAAGCTTTTTCAGCATCCAAAAATATCAATGCCGCAGGGACTTGATTGTTCTTATCCAAATACTCAATTAAATTAACAATTTGTCTTACATTATATTTCATATATCTTCCAGTTATAAATCCAGACTGATCACTATGAATCATTTGCTTCAGAACTTGCATTAATCTATTTGCCAATATTTTCGAAAAAATCTTATAGTCTGTATTCAAAAGCGATATAGGTCTATAATTCTTAGGCTGAGTAAGATCTTGATCCTCCTTTGGAATCAGCGATATAAAAGCCCTTCTCCAAGACGGAGGCACTTCTCCTCCAATCTGGATACTATTAAAAAGTTCCTTTAATGGTTCTATCATCTCTTCAGATAATATTTTATAATAAATTGCTGTTAATCCATCTGTACCAGTCTTACTCACTTTTAACTGTTTAATTGCCAAAATAATTTCCTCAGAAGTAATTAAACAATTCATCTCATTTCGTTGTTCATTTGAAAGTCTAGGAAAATGTGCTGCCTGTAGGTACTTATCTATATCTACATCTTGTATATTTTCACTAGTGTATAATTTTGTATAAAAATCTAAAAAGCTCTTTTTAATCAACTTTTGTTGATATACCTCTTTACCTTTATATTCTATTTTCTCTATAATACGTGATTTCTGTTTCTTCCGTAATTGATAAGCCTACCACAGGCTTGTT